ATCCCACTTATTAAACCTGACAGGGCACACCTGTGAAGTGAAAACCATTTCAGGTGACTACCTCTTGAAGCTCATCAAGAGACTGCAGAGTGTGTGCAAAGCAGTAATCACAGCAAAAGGTGGCTACTTTGAAGAAACTAGAATGTAAGACATATTTTCAGTTGTTTTACACTTTTCTGTTAGGTACATATTTCCACATGTGTTAATTCATAGTTTTGATACCTTCAGTGTGAATCTACAATGTCAATAGTCATGAAAAGAAAGGAAACTCATTGAATGAGAAGGTGTGTCCAAACTTTTGGTCTGTACTGTACATGGCTACTTCATGAATAATAAACATCCCTAGAACAGGTTGAATGCAAATACAGAATAAATAATAATAATAATTAAAATAAATAATTTAAACAATAGATACTCTTGTGTACAGTAAGGCAACATGATGCATAGCATCTAACAGAGTAAATTTTGACTTAATGGATGATGACAGAAGGCCTCAGAATGATGTTGTTGGTCATATATTGCAGTGTACCACTGCTGTACACACACAAGCTGAAAGCACAGTCAGTATACATAGTAATATTTCTGTAGCAGTTGACGTTCACTGATTTAGTTCAGTACATCTACAATGATTGGTTTCACCTCTGTGTTCGGCTCAGGTACCGTTCAGCTTTTAAAGAAGCATTCCTCAATGCAATGAAATATGTTCATGCACTGTTCAGTGAGAAGTTCCATAGTGAGTGGACTGCTACACAGAGTGCTTTCATTTGCCTTGTTTTGAGTCTTGTCACTTGCCCCTCCTTGCGTGACCCACAAACTGACCTGCTTTGCCATCATGAAGGATGTCTGCATTCTTAATGTCTGTTTAGACAGAAATGTGGAGGAACACGTGACCATCCTTTGCTGAATCACTTTTGGATATTTGACTGGACAGTGCAGCTGCCTGGCCCAAAAACAGAATATCTATTATGAAACACATTCATTCCCGATGTTTTTGTGTTTTGAGTCACAACCTACTTAAAATTATTTGACCTGTGGTAACTGTATATCAGATTAGTACAGATAACTACAGGATGCATAGATGCATAGTTGTCTTTTGGCAGTGAAAACCTTTTAATTATACACAGGAAAAGGCTGGTTATCTGTGTATCAGGTATAAATTATGTTTTGACTTGACAAATATTTACATTTTTCCCAATTTCCCTCAAAACATACGTAACTGATTTATTTCTTTAGCTTAGCTAATTAAACAATGACTTTGCAAACAGAATATCAATAAAAGCCATTGCAAAGCCTTGTCTAAACAGAGCTTTACAAACTTTGATCTGAAGGCTCTGTTGACAATATAAATAAAATCCAGGTTTTTAATAAATGCTCTTATGTAGTAACTGTGTGTCATTACTTTATCTGTGTAAATACAAACTTCAAAGCATACAGGTTTCTTGTGCTCCACTTGAAGGGAACAAGATGCACAGATACTGTAAGTATGAGAAACATTTAGGATGAATGAGAAGCAGCCATTATCAGTGTTTATCCAAAATTAGCATGAAGCAGAGGGAAATGGTGAATAGCCATGGCAAAAGTGAAACTAGTATGCACAGTGAGTTCAAAGCTGTTTTTTAAATTTATATGCTAACCATGAATACATATATAGTAAAACATATGTAGCAAAGCTGAGAGTGGTGGGCTGTTAAAAATATTCAGTATGAATGTATTCTGTGTGGATTCTTCTGTGGACCATAGATAAGCTGGTCCAATAGGATAGGGTTTGGACCTCTATTTGTCATCACTTTATTTGAAAATTTGCTTGAGTGTTTCTATTTTGCTTCTTAACACCACAATCTTTATTTGCTGAAAACAAATTTTAAAAAATGCAAGTTGCTGTAATTGAAAACAAATATGAGACTCTGCGTGAATGTGGCTGCAACCATTCTTTGAATAATTCTCAATAGAAAAAAAAAATGAAAATGTTGGAAGTTTTTCAGTGAGCAGAACCAGTAGTGGCAATAAAGACATGTGGCAGTGCTTTGTTATGCCAGTGTTATTGGTATGTGCGCAACCACTCTCGTCAGAGATGCATACTGCCAAGACACAAACTACAAAACAGGCTATGATCTATAAATATCCAAGTGAGCTTCACTCCAATATTTTATAGACTAGTTTTCAACGCAGCTGAACACAAAAAAGCTTGAATGAATACTGTCTCAGAGTACTTGCAAGTACAAAAGAAATATTTCTGCATATGATACGTGATACTGCATTGTAAACTTTTCCACTGGTCAGGGTCCAAATCTTTTTACTGATCAAAAATGGAAGGACTGGAGACTTAAAAAGGCTTTTCATATTGTGCTATATGTGGTCCACTCAAGTCTCATAAACGTGCAGCACACAGGAGTGGAGCCAAGCTGGTAACAAAAATACTGATACCGACTGTGTAACAGACAGCTGTAACAAAAACAAAGTAATCTACATGTAATGTGATGAAAATGTTGAGCACATGAAGTTCAAAACTTTTTGCCTGTAATTTAATTAGTTTATACAATTTTGTGATTGTTGTTGCAATTTCACCAGCAATGTGCTGATGAAAAATGTAATATATAATACATATATTATAAATCATTAGTTTGATGGAGTGCTTTTCAGGTGTGTGTGGAACAGCAATGACAAATACAGCAAAACTTAAAAGTGGTATTCATGTGGTCCACAGATGCAGACACCTGGCAAGTAACACAACTCCTTACGCTGGTTACGCTCCAACTTAGCAAAGCAGTAGAAACGACATTGAAACTGATTTCCCACACTTGTTTGTCTAAACTACAGGTCAGGTGGTTGAGAGAAGTATCATGTCTCACCCTGATCTGAAAATACACTATGTGGTGAAAAGCTGTTACTCTGAGTGATGGTTGGCTCGCAACTATATTTGTGATGGCATTCTACAATAGACTGTTGACAGAGATGTAAACATGATGTGTTGAAACAAGTACTCCAGAACTACTGTGGCATTTACAATTAGCATAGTTGGCCAGAGGACAGTATGTTATGAGCTGATCCGCTCTGCTGAATTTGGAAAGCCAATGGGGTCATGTAAAGCATTATATATGTCAGACAACTAAATTAAACAATGTATATTTATATTCCTAATCCAAAAATGTCAGCATCTCAGTCTCTTTATCTGCTGTTGTGAGTGTGTAAGACAGAGAGAGAGAGAGAGAGAGAGACTATTTTGGACATGGACTGTGTTATGGAGCTGCCCTGGAAGGAAAGGTAGAGTTGTATCACATGGTGAAAGCAATATTTGATCTTATGAATACCACTGTCTTAACAAAACTTAACTAAACTTAATTCAAAACTTCAATAAACTTCCAAGTTCTTATTAGCATGTCGTAACATCATAGTGTTTGGTCTTTACACAGGATAAACAGAGTTTTTAGTAGACTTGAGGTTGTTAATGTTATGCTGTCTGGACTTACAAATGTCCAGAAATCACATTTGACTCCATAATGGAGATTCACTTGATAACTGGCTTTTGGCAAATAATGTCTAAGTCCCTTAGCTATAGAACAAACAAGGAAAACAGAAATATTTAAACAATACTGTGATGTAGATGTACAACAAGTGAGTTGTGTTTAACTGAAAAGAAAATAGTTGGATTATACAGACATTTTTTTGTTTTTAGATACTGTGATAGTTGTGTTACGAAGAAATTCTTGTTTTTAACAAACGTCAGTTTCGAAATGTATCACTATGCTCGCATGCCGACTTTTGAGGCTGAATCCCATTTTCATTCATATGTAGAATAATCAACCACATTTACATTTTAATTTTATATAATATTTTGGAAACTTTTAAAGTCACATTGTATTTCAGGTTGGGCTGTGGATTGTTGCTACGTAATGATGTAACACAAAAAGAAAGAAAAAGATTTTTCACAACTTAAGCAGTTGTTCAGACAAAAGAGACTTCATTTGCTAAAATATTCTGAGTGCAAAGGTTGTTATTAATTCAAATGAAAATCTATATTGATTTAAAATGTAGTGTGTTGTTTAGCATACAGTATAAAGGGTAAATGCTTTAAATTTTTGAACACCAAGTCATTCATACCGACTAATCAAAACTAAAGCTTTTCTTGAAATATTGTCATGTGAGCCTAAATTAGTAAACTGTACCTTTAAAATAAATTTGCAAAGCAATTTGTGTCAGAATGTTTGGACTCTACTTTTAGTTTGATTATCGACTGAGGTACGTGGATAGCCTTTGGATTTGGCTTTTAGACTTTCTTAAAATTCATAGATTACATAATAATAGGGCCAATAGTGTTTACTTATTGGCAAAAAACAATATGTGAATGCAAATTAGACTACCCTTCATACCTGCTAGAGTCTTATGTTTCAGTCAGATACAGTTAGCGTCTTCTCATACTGGCCTCTACTTGAGGAACAGCAAACACATCAGCTAAACAGATGATATGAAAACTGTTTACTGCTGAAATCACCACCTCCTACTCAAAAGTGACACAGAAGTAGCAGTGAACCATAATGCATTTGGGTGAGATAGCTGAAATGAAATCAGCTACTCACAGCTTCTGTTGCCAAAGGGTGAAGGACCTCCAATGTTTCTCCTACAGAGCGATGCATCACCAGAATTTAATGGGCTGAATGAAGGATACAAAGTCTCGACCCCCATGGCCTGGAGGAACTGCTGGTTTAGTCCACTCTGCTTGTTGTTGGTGGCTAATAATCAAACCTTCCTCTGCCCCTGACTGCTGGCAGACATCCAGATGACCCGTTGGTGCCATCAGGCTCTAAAGCTATCTAAAGCTCCAATCCCAACAGCCCAGTTATCAGTGGAGTGAACACCTGGCCACTGCACTGTGGATCACGTCCCAGGCCCCTGCCTGAGATCACATGAACCAGGGTTAAGTCCCCTCCAACAGAGAACATCCCGCTCTTTGCATAAGAGCTTATCCATGTTTGTGCTTTTCAGAGAGACACTCTTCTTTGCAATCAACCCACACAGCTGCAGTTGGCTGCTGAGAGCCACTTAATTGTCTGCCAGGTAGTCTGAGCGTCCATAAAGGACACAGTTTCATAGCGGGTGGGCCGACAACAGGGCTGACTGCTGACTTTCTTGCCGGAGATTCTCCCGTTGTTCATCAGAGCCTTGAGGGCCAGATCATAGTTCTTCCGAGACCTATAACATGTACCAACACAGTACCTAAAGAGGACTATCTCGTCTGAGTCATAGCCGAGGCCAAGATCCCGCACCCGCATCTCCTTCTTCTCCAGGTGACAGTCCCGGCTGCTCTTGGCCTTCCTGTGATGCCTCCATGAAATTCTGGGTAAGCTTGGGTCACGAGGGGCGCGTCGCCATCTACCCTGCTGGACTTCCTCCCCTTGCACCAGTAACCACTCCTCTACAATAACAAGAAAACACAGATGGGGAGTCAATCCTTTGATTTACAGTATGCAAATGTCAAGGCTTTCACATGTAAATTTTGCTCACTGAATTAAATTTTCACGTGAATTTAAGAACAGACAGAAAGGAGGGACTGATTGAATGTTTTTAATGATATTCTGATAAATTATTGCTGTTGTTGTTGTCATTTCATTGTAAAAAACAGTGTCTATTTCATAAAAATAGTCACTGTAAATTTAAGGATACTTGACACAATTTTCAAAAACCACGAAACCCATGTAAAATTATCTGAAATTCTGCACAAGGCTGTATGTAAATTCGCCTTTTTTATGGCTTAGAGCAGAGGGAAACTGAGCTGTCAAAGGTCTGAAAAGTGAATCCAGTGCAAAAGTGCCTTGAACCTGCATTCAGCCAGCTGCGGATTTCTCTGGTTCTACAAATAATTCATATTGTACAGAAATCTATAAGATGATTTCTCTTCTCACTTGGTTTGTTATCTCAAAAAATATTTTTGTATAAATAGTTTATGGTTTCAATTACTAGTTTCAAGTCTCGTCATTCCACTGTGGTGTAGTTTGGTAAATAAAGGTACTATTTAGACTGCATTGGACAATAAAACAGGGAAGGTTTTAGGGCAGGGCTACCTTGTAAATGACAGGTCACTACTGTATTACCGTATGCAGTGTCCTTGAGATTGTTAATTAGATCCACCCCTTACTCACAAACCAGTCCACAAACAATAATAATAATAATTGATCAGATTTATATAGCTCAGGGAGTAACTCAAAGCGCATACACTATCAATTATTCATTCACACACATTCATTCCGGTGGGAGTAAGCTACGATTACAGCCACAGCTGCCCTGAGGCAGACTAACAGAGGCGTAGCTGCATCTGACCACCATCTCAAACAATCCATTCACACGCATTCACGCAAGGCGGGTGAAGGGTCTTGCCCAGGGACACAACGACCATGACACAGGTTACAGGGTGGAATCGAACCGCCGACCTTCCAATCATTGACCGACCTGCTCTGCCACCTGAGCCACAGCCGCAAACCAGAGTGATGTCACCATCACTATTTTATAGTCCATGAAATGAGAAACATCTTCAGTACACATTGATTCATCGTTTATGATAACATAAAGCTTGAAGTATATTACTACTTCACTCTGGATGAAAATTTATGCTTCTTGTAGGACTGATACCAACTGTTACCAACGGCTTGCTCAGAGGAAGTCCAAAGGCTACGTTGGATTGTTGGGTTCTCTGTTTAAATTTGTAAGGTCTATACCCTACTTTGTTAAGCGCTGTGTGATAACGTGTTGTACACTGCGCTATACAAATAAAATTGAATTGAATTGAATTGAACCTGTCATCTGTCTGGTAGTGCAGCTTCTAAGAGCGGAGAAGAGCATTTTAACGACAGTATATTGCATTATATGAAAAGATATCCCCATGAAATGTCTAATTTCATCATAATTTCATCAGCAGCTTGAAATGAAGGTAACGTATGATTGCACAAACTGGTCTATCAAGGCAACTCAAGCAAAAACATCCTCTATCACTTCTCGTGATCTGTTCATATGGTAAAGTGCTCTCAGTGTTCTGACTTCTGTTGTATGAACCATATTTGGCATGCTGGCAGCAGTACTCTGATTAGTTAGTCAGTGCAATGACTGGGACCGCTGGACTCACTGATGGTATTTATAACACAAACGTAAAGCAACAAGTACACAAATACCAGGGGCCATATTCAGAAATCTTGCTACATGTCGGTCCTGAGCAGCTGAAAAAGAAGACAACTAAAACTGAGGGGTGCATCTCTCCTAACATTCGAACAAATACATTTTTGTAGTGTGAGTAATTCAGAGAGAATTGTATTAAAAGTAGAGAGGAGTGAATGCAGTCCAGAGGATGACAAAAATCATATTTTATTGGTGGACAAGTTTAGAACATTAAAGTCAGTAACACTGGAGACAACAGTCTCACAACTCACTGGTGCTTTGACACCAGAAAGATGCAGGTATCTGTGCTGACAAACAACATCTCAACTGACTGTGAAAACTGTTTCTTAGGTAAAGATATTCAGTTCTACATTTGTAAGTGTGTTTGACTAATATCACTAAAATAAATGAATGAATAATGTTGATTTCATAGTCATCAATGAAAAAAAATAACAAAATAAGATCAGAATATATTTAGTTTTATGTGTAAATTTGCAGCACCATTTTTAATAATAATAATAATAATAATAATAATTGATCAGATTTATATAGCGCTTTTCTAGACACTCAAAGACGCTTTACACTGTCAAGTATTTATTTACATACATTCATTCTGGTGGTGGTAGATACGATTGTAGCCACAGCTGCCCTGGGGCAGACTGACAGAGGCGTGGCTGCCATTCTGCGCCTACGGCCCCTCTGACCACCACCTCAAACAATCCATTCATACGCATTCACACCAGGCAAGGTGGGGGAAGTGTCTTGCCTAAGGACACAACGACCATGACACAGGTTACAGGGAGGAATCGAACCGCCGACCTTCCGATCAATGACCGACTCGCTCTACCACCTGAGCCACAGCCGCCCAACCAAACATTTGTTAATCAAGTCTGTTTAGAACCTTTCTATTTTGAGTGTTTCACAATGATCGGCTCTGCCTGTCGACTTGTCAAACAATTAGTGTAGACAAAGTGAATAAATCCATCCAGAAGATACTTTATTGTTTGCTTTTTTTAAATACTTGAAGTGGTGAAATAAGACACAGTGTTATGGCTGTTGGAGACTGAAAGGTGAAAAACTTCTCACACTTTAGTTTATGTTCTGGATTAGAAAGCAGTTTTATGGGTTAGTGGGGGAAAACATATACTTGAATTGAAAGCAGACATGAGTGTTGAAACAAGGAGAGAAATTCCTCTGGTTATCAGCAGAGTGGTGTAAAAATGAACTGTCACTTTAAGGGAGTAGTACAACAGCTGCTGGCTGAACTCCAACAAGCTGTTTTCTCGGTTGCCAGGAATATTTAAACAAGGTTTAAGCACTCAACTGTGCAGACCGGGCCCAGGTGTTTGACTGACTCCTGGTTCCTGACCTGATAATGGCTTTGCCCTGTTCTTTCTCCAAATGCCTCCACACAGTATTTTCCCCTCGCAGCATGCTCATTAGCTGCAGCATAGGGACTTGTCGATTCATGCCGTGATGTTTGTGAAAACTTGTAATCAAGAAGAGAAAAAGAAGAGAAAAATGCAAAGAAATCTTCCCCAGGCAAAGAGCAGAGGGCCGTCTCAGTCACACACTGCTCAGGTACATATTCAGCCACGTTAAAACATGCCACATGGATTTGCATTATTTCATGTAATCATACAGCTATTCTGTGTCATGTTACAACTGAATGGGGAGATGTTCAGGCAATCATGCCCTGCTGTACTAAGCATTATTATTAGTGTGATGCTTGTATCAGTATATTTACATCACTTATTATTATTATTCTAAAAGTGTTACAGGAGAAACAGTACTTAGTTTTGCCCAAGAGTACCACAGATATAAAGTCTGTATCACCAGTGATTAAGCATTAAGCAGAACAGCTACTAATCTGTTCTTGTTCCTCTGTATTGAAAGTTTAGGGGAGGAGGCATGTCTCATCAAATACTGGATTTTAATAAAACTGCTATCCCCTGTAATGGTAACATTTCTGCAATACAAACAAGTCTTTCTCTCCATGTACAGATTTTTCTCCCTGTGTTTTTACATCCATTGGAGCCTTTAATTTTCATTCTAGCCCACTGATACTGCTATTTGCAATACAAAACTATTATTGGGAAAACATTTATTTCCTCTGTCTTTATTTACTCACTTTTATTATTTGTGTGCTCATCATTTATGGACTCTTGTGTTTTATGACACAGAAGTTTGAAGAATATCAGATAGTGTTAAGCAGCACTGTTCTGATTGTGAGGCTGTGATGGCGTGATGACTGATGTAGATCTCTGCTCAATGCTGCTGGAATGTTACGCTACAGTCTTGTCTCCCAGAAATGATGTCCCTAAGTCATTTATGCCTGAAAGAAACACAATTTTGACTTATATTTTTTTGCACCTGTGACGTAGGAAGAAAGGTTTCCAGTTTGAAGGAGCCACAAAGTCCACATGAGGAGGTCTAAGTCTGCAACAGGCCTTTCACCCATGAGGTCACGTAGGCCCATTATTCTAGACTTCCGGTTTGTTTCACTTGTTCCATTTTATTTTCACTCACTGTTTGGTTATGTTTAGCTGGTTTAAGTTAAAAGGCATACTGTCACAACATCTTAAAGCTTCTCCTCATGTCATCCTGCAGCTTTGAGAAAACCCGATTATATAGCAAACTGTGCTGTCTTGTGTGACATCACCCACTCTAACTTTGGCTCTGAAAAGTTTAATGAAACGTGCAGTTGAGCTTGTCTCCTTACATTTTTTCCTCTTCATGAAACATTAGAATTCACCATTTCAAGGTATGTAAGTGATTAACTAAACAATTAAGTAAAAATGTAGATATCTACACTACCGGTCAAAAGTTTTAGAACACCACACTTTTTCCAATTTTTTACTGAAAATTATTCAGTTTATTGTGCCATTGCATTCTAAAATGAAAGCATAGAACAAACAAGCAATTTTAGTTGAAAAATAAATCATGGAATCAATTTATAGACCAAAATACATTCCAAACTTTTGACTCATCAAAGTAGCCACCTTTGGCAGATATAACAGCTGAACACACTCGTGGCATTCTTTCTACAACAGAAATCAAATATTGTTCAGAAAGTTCTTCCCAAGTCTGTTGTAGAAGGTCCCAGAAATGTGTGGCACTTGTAGACTGCTTGGTTTTCACTCTTCTGTCTAGTTCATCCCAAACCAGCTCGATGGGGTTTAAGTCTGGAGACTGCGCTGGCCACTCCATGTTTTCAAGCTTACCATCTTGTTCTTTTTCCTGAGGTAGTTTTAGCATAGATTGGACTTGTGTTTTGGATCTTTATCTTGCTGTAGGATGAACCTCTGACCAACTAGGTGCATATCAGAGGGTATTGCATGGCGCTGCAGAATGCTGTGGTAGCCATTTTGGTTCAGGGTGCCTCTCACTCTGTGCAAGTCACGGACCCTGGATCCAGCAAAACAGCCCCAGACCATCACACTCCCTCCTCCATGTTTCACAGTTCATGTCACACACTGTGGAAACCATCCTCTCGCCTACTTGACGACGTACAAAGATCCTGTGTATTGAAGCGAAGATTTGAAATTTTGAGTCCTCAGTCCATAATACCTTCTTCCAGTCTTCAGTAGTCCAATGGCGGTGTTTCATGGCCCAGGAGAGCCTCTTTGTCTTATTCTGACGTCTCAGCAGTGGCTTTCTTTCTGCAACTCGTCCTGTCAAACCTGCAGCTCGAAGTCTTCTCTTCACAGTTGAAACTGAGATTTGCCTACTACGACCACTATTAAGCTGTGCTTGAAGCTGTTGTCCTGTGAGCCGCCTATCACGCAAGCTGATAACTCTCAGAAACTTGTTCTCTGATTCAGTTGTGGCTTTGGGTCTGCCAGATCACTTCCTGTCAGAGTTTCCCCCAGTTTCTGAGTGCCTTTTGATGGTGAAGAAAACTGTACTCACTGATACCTTGACTTTCTTTGCAATTTCCCTGTAGGAAAGACCTCCATCTTTAAGTGTTATGATGGTCTGTCTCTCTTCCACTGTTAATTGCCTTTTTCTCGCCATTTTTGTAGCAACACACCACTTTCTGCAGTACAATACTGTTCAGCTGATGCTCATGAGGGTCTGGTACTACAGTGTGTTCCAACACTGCTTTTATGGAGACAGAGGGGGTTATATGTAATCAAGAAAAGTTGGAACACCTGTAGGAATTAGTAGCACCAGCTTTTAAGGCTGTTTCAACCTTCACTGCTGCAGAACAGCTTTAAATTGTTAACCCATTTCGTGTTTCCTGGAAAAGGCCTTTTTGTATAATTCTGAAATGTACATTATTTTTCGGTTTTGTGTAACCAAACCTTTTTTTTTAAACCTCTGGCTGTTCAGTACTAACCTTTGTACCATTTCAAGCTATTCATTGGACTTGTACAACTTGAATTGCAATAAATAACTGGAAAAATTAGGGTGTTCTAAAACCTTTGACCGGTAGTGTATGTCTGCTTTCACCCAGTCAAACTGTCATTACCACTGGACTTTCTTTTTCATAAATCACTTCAGAGCACCAGGGACTCTGAAACACGTTGGCTTTTCAAAATAAACACACCGTCTCTCCTGGCTTCCCCCTGTGTTGGACTGTCAAAATAAAGTCTCCCTGATGTTCAAGGCAGTTTACCAAACAGTGCTTCTTTCTGTGTCTTTGTCACAAACATATTGATGGACAACCATCTGTATGCTTGGGTTCAAAATGAGAGTTCATACCCAGTAACAGAGCTTAGTGAGCAGCTCTATGGTCACCTGGATTTACACTTTTTTTTTTTTAGAGGCTCAATTTCATAGCTCACAAAAAGAATTGATCAGGGTTGTAAAATATGCTGGCTTTTCCAAAATAAAATGGATTTATATAAATTATACTGTATGTATAATCATAGCAGGACGTATCATCCAGCAGAAGCGGCATTGGCACACTTAAAATTTCTTTAGAAATTTCTTATTAGATAATTATCATTACTTACTAAGGAAAATACTGAAGTCTAGCCTGGCTATATACCAAACCAACTAGTAGATTAAACAGACATACAATCTACAGCCAGTGACTCTATTTGTGTGCTAGCTGTGATGAACAGGGCTATGATGCATAATAGAAACCTTCACAGTAGAGTGATGACCTTTAGCCTGCTGTCTCAGCTGACCAAGGCCATACTATTAGTCATCCAGTAGTGGCATGCTTGTATTTTATGGCCATGACCTCAGAATTATGAAGTTTTGTTTTCTGAAAGATCCTGAAGTGCATGGAAAGCTCATGGAGTAATGAAGATGAAAAGGAGTTCCTTTTCTGAGATGATAGAAGCCCCAGAGTGGATGTCAACAGGCAGCTGGTGTAACATGGCTCCTATACTGAAGAAAATACTTTGTGCTCCCACTGAGCATGTCTTATAAAGAGTACTCCTATTCACTAAATAATACTAGATCCCTGTATTTTCCTTACTGTCATTGTAATTCTATACAATCACACTATGAAGCACTAACAGTTTTCTGTGTTCTCTACTAATAAACCTCACAGGACAGCACTCTGAGCACCGGCAGCTTTAACTTTCCCTGTACTTGATTTATGATAAAGGTACAGTAGCCCAATGATTATTTTATTACTTTTTTCAAATGCCTGGATATATACTGTGTGTTCAGGTCTGGCAGCTGTAATGTATACACCAACAACTGAGAACACCACTGTGCAATGTCACTAAAATGTTCACTGATTCAAAATCATGTATCAATTTGATCATTTTACAATACCTGTATTATTCTGAAGTTGTGGGGTATTTGATCTTATAAAAAATTCAATATATGGGCACAAGCACAGTCATACACGGTATAACGCACAGTGAAATGCTTTGCGATCCCGTTCAACACCGAAACAATATTAAGAGATGAATAACCACACAATAAATAAATATATATATACGAACATGTATATATATGTATGTATACATATATATATATATAGAGAGAGAGAAAAGGGGATCAAAAAATAAGCTAAATAAATAAATCAAATTTTCAAACCGTGCAAAAGGAGATGGAATAAATAAAGAAAATAATAATGCTATATACATGTATATATACAAAGTGCAATGTGACCGCTTGAATTGTCTATGAGTCTACTGTTTCAGCAGGCAGACAGCTTGAGGGAAGAAGCTCCTCCTCATCCTCTCTGTGGTTGCCATCAGGCAGCGTTACCGCCGCCCTGACGGCAGCAGAGAGAACAGTCTGTGGCTGGGGTGGGTGGGCTCACTCACAATGGCCTTTAACCTGCATCGTTTGGTGTAAATGTCCTGCAGGTTGGGGAGGGTGGTTTTGATGGTGTGCTCAGCCGAGCGAACCACCCTCCTCAGAGCCAAGAAGTCCTGCTGGGTGCTGCTGCCCATCCAGGTGGTGAAACTCCCAGCCAAAACACTCTCAATGGTGCAGGTGTAAAAGTTCCTGAGCACCTTGAGAGGGAGCTTGAAGTACCTCAGGCATCGGAGGAAGTAGAGACGCTGTCGAGCCTTCTTCACCAGGGTGTTGATGTGACAGAACCACGTCAGGTCCTGTGTTATGTTAACACCCAGGTATTTGAAGCTCTCCACTCACTCCACCTCTGTCCCGCTGATCCTGAGTGGGTGGTATGCCCTCTGCTGTTTCTTGTTGTAGTCCACAATCAGCTCTTTGATCTTGCTGACGTTCAGGAGGAGGCTGTTGTCTCTGCAGCAGTCCTCCAGGTGGGTGATCTCCATTAAATAGTCCTCCTCGTTGTTGTTGGAGTACAGCAGAGGGCTCAGCACACAGCCCTGGGGGGCACCGATGTTCAGGGTGCGTGAGGGGGACAGGTGATTCTCCACTCGAACCACCTATGGTCTGCTGGTCAAAAAGCTGTAGACCCACCTACACAGGGAGGAGGAGAGTCCGAGGTCCTGCAGCTTAGTGACCAGTCTGGAGGGGATTAAGGTGTTGAACGCTGAACTGAAGTCCATAAACAGCATTCGCACATAATTCCCCTTCCGAGTGTCCAGCTGCTTGTACCTGGGCAGACAGAGAATGAAGGCGTGGTCTGACCTGCCGAATGGTGGTTGAGTCTTTGCTGCATAGCCGTGTCTGACGGGAGAGTATCAGTGGTCCAAAGTTCCGTCTCCTCTGGTGGGGAAGGCAATGTGCTGGCAGAGTTCTGGCATCGCCTTCCTCAGGTTTTCACTGTTAAAATCCCTGGCCACGATGAGGGCTGCCTGGAGATAGCTTCATGTAGCTCAGCTAATGCAGCGTCCGTGCCCACCTGCAGGTAAATGTAGAGGGCGCTGAAAATAACAGAGGTGAATTGCCGGGGCAGGTAGATGGTGAAAAGTTCCAGGTTGGGTGAGCAGGACTTAGAGAGACACACAACATCTCTGCACCAGTTGTTGTTGGTCATGAGACAGATGCCCCCGCCTCTAGTCTTCCCCGACTCAGCCACTCTGTCCATATGATGAACTGTGAAGAACTCTGCTGGTTGAATGGCATGGTCCGGTATGGTGGGGTCAGCCATGTCTCCGTGAGGCAGATGATGTTGCAGTCTCTTGTGTCCCTCTGGTACCTGATCCTGGCTCTGAGCTCATCCAGCTTGTTGTCCAGGGACTGGACATTCGCGAGCAGGATGCTAGGCAGTGGTGGTCGGTGTGCTCGTAGCCTTAACCTGTTCCCAGTACCGGCTTGTTTCCCCCAGGGCCTGTTACGCTGTCGGCATCCTGCGTCATTGTTGTTGGGGGGCCCTCGCAGGATCTCGCTGGGCCAGAACGCATCAGCAGAAAAAGTGGTGTAATATGGTGAAAACCAATGTTTACCACTGTGTCTCTGTCGTATTTGATACGACGAGGACACAGCATGGTGAACGCCGTGCAAAAAGATAAATAAAAAGTTAAATAACAATAAAAAAAGTTGTGACCATGCCGGAGCAGGTACGATGGCTGCCGTACTCACCAGCGCCATCATCTGCAGAGAGATGTTCTACCATTCTCATTAAAAAAATAAAAATAAAAATTTTTGTTGCTTAAAGGTGTTACATTAGATTCCATTCAGGTAACACGCTTCGTCAGGTCATAGTAATCACTTTTCCTTCTTTAAAAACCTGTGTGATTGTTGCAGTGTGGAGTCATTTCCTCTAGACAGTGGGACTCACCTATTCATTCAGTAAGCTGAGTGTTTGAATTAAGTTGTATTTATAGTTCCATCTGTATTGTCATTTTCCCGTCACTTGACTGGTTCATGTACAGACCAAATATGCTGGACCACATCTGATCCAAACAATCATCTGTTTTGAGCAACAGTTTTATTCTTGGACACTGTCAACTTTTCAGGTTGTTCACAGGTGGGGTTTTCATTTTCCATTCAAAACTGCAGAGGCATGGTAGAACTACTATTCAAAACAACATGTACCTTAAACATTTATTTGCCAGTTGAATTACTCTAATTGTTTTAGTTCTGATCATCAACTTTCATGTCTTACTGCAAAAATTTTCCCTAAGACAACAAGTGTAGCTCAGGAATTAGACTGCACCTTTAGGCTATATTTAGCTTTATATGCAAAATATGTACTACAACACAGAGCAATGAAACAGTCTCACATTGGGGTTTTAGGGGCTGGTTTCCTACAGAAAAGCATTTTCCTTAACATTATCTTAATGATGAAAATCATACTTAATACTGTGCAAAGATATAACACACTGTGTATTTATCATTGATTGAAATATTGTTTTTTCAGTGAGTTAGTTATTTGCCTACTTTACATTGAATGAATCATGTAGGAAACAGCTTGATGTTTCAGTAATAATGCTTCACCTGTTGCTTGTCTGAATCTAGCTCTGTCTTTGCTGCCTTCCATAGCTCTTTCTCTGGTAAAAGTCTTTTCCTTTTGGACGGCAGCTTCTTTCATACAGCTACCTATATTTATCAAGAATATAAAGCAATACTGGGTGATACTGATAGTGGCCATATATTGCTCAGGAGCTTATGTGGAGGTGTTCATTTACAGGGAATCCTACAGGTTATAGCGGTCATTGTCAATCATCTCTTGTACACATGTGGACAAAATTGTTGGTACCACTCGATTAATGAAAGAAAAACCCACAACGGTCACAGAAATAACTTGAATCTGACAAAAGTAACAATAAATAAAAATTCAATGAAAATTAAGCAATGAAAATCAGACATTGCTTTTGAACCGTTGTTTAACAGAATTATTAAAAAAAAATAAATTCATGAAACAGGCCTGGATAAAAATGATGGCACCCCTAGAAAAACTGAGAATAATGTGACCATAGGGACATGTTTGTGGTGATATGAACGTATTCACTGTGTTTTGTATGCCCTGCGGTTGGTTTTTTGTATGCAGCTGGTTATTCTTGAGTGTCAGGCTGGGCAGGACTGATTGGAGGAGGACGCTCCCTGGCACAGCTGCTGCTCATCACCCTCATCAGTGTGCTGGATAAAGCCACCGTCTACCTGTGCTCCAGCGCCAGACAATTGCCTACCCCATGAGTGGTACATTCAGGCCATCTTAGTTGCTGAAACAAAGTTTCTCTCTGTGAATTATTCTCGAGCTTACGAGTAACCTGTATTTCTCCCTGTGTCTCCAGTGTCTCCTCTGTTCAGCCTTTGCGTCCAGCCATTCGGGTTTCCCACACCAGCCTGCCCGCCGAGGGTACGGACCTCACCTCTCCCCTCACGAGCACCAGCACGAGACACCACCCTCACCCCTGGTTTTCCTGCTATGCTCTGGACCCCGGATCCCTCACCTGCCTCCTGGTGCCCCCTCACTCCCCTGGATTTCCAAATAAACCTGTTTTCCTTTTAACCTGCCTCCCTCTCGTTTTGGATCCCACACTCATGTTCCTGCGGCCACCAGGCCATGACAATGTCAATCAAGATGTGTCCTCTAATTAGCATCACAGGTGTCTACAACCTTGTAATCAGTCAATCAGCTTATTTATAGGGTTACAAGTAGTCACTGTGCTGTTTGGTGACAAAGTGTGTACCACACTAAACATGGACCAGAGGAAGTGAAGGAGAGAGTTGTCTCAGGAGATTAGAAAGAAAATTATAGACAACCATGTTAAAGGTAAAGGCTATAAGACCATCTCCAAGCAGCTTGATGTTCCTGTGACTACAGTTGCACATATTATTCAGAAATTTACGAGCCATGGGACTGTAGTCAACCTCCCTGGACGTGGCCGCAGGAGGAATGATGACAAATCGAAGAGACGGATAATATGAATGGAAACAAAAGAGCCCAGAACAAACTCTAAAGACATTAAAGGTGAACTCCAAGGTCAAGGTACATCAGTGTCAGATCGCACCATCCGTCGTTGTTTGAGCCAAAGTGGACTTCATGGGAGACAACCAAGGAGGACACCATTGTTGAAAACAAATC